AGAAGCCTCCAAGAGGAGCAAGCACTCACTACTGACCCAGCCTGTCATTTGTGTGCCTGCACCTTCCCCCAGGTCCATGTATCAAGATTGATTCTGGCACACTCCATCCTGGAGTGTGGATCCGGACTCTCGCTTTCTACCTAGAATGCACCACCTTCCAATTCCCAGGCTAGCCTGCACTCCAGGAAAGCAGCAGGAACACCCTCCAGCTCCCTTCCCACCCACAGAAGTAGCCATCATCCTTCGCCTTTATCGAACCCTTTTCACAAAACATACATATATTTCAAGTCAGCTTCCCTTTGACTCCCCCGATCCACGAAACAACTCTAGAAAAAAACCTCACCAGGCACTGTACTCCCTCTTCCTGGCAACACTGCAATAGTCAGCTGAGCATGGAGAAAAAATTTTTCCAAGGCTGTGTGCCATATCCCAGCACCCAACAATGAGCTGAGCATCCAGTAGGCATCCCGTTAATTTTAAAATAATAATCAACAGTAACTGGTGGTTGTTTGTCCTTCCACCAACATCTACTGAGACGATATTAGACAATGTGCATCCTTTCCACTTGGCACGCGAATGGCAAATGTATTCTTTACTCGGGAGTCTTGTGCACACAGCACTTGCTGTCACTGGACCCTGTGCCAACACACAAGAACTTTCCCCTTAAATGTGCAACCCTCCTTTAAGCCTTCTCCTGTCCCTTCAACTGGAAGGCAGGGAAGGGGGAGAAGCTAAAGCCATTTCTTGTACTGCTCTCGGCAAGAGTGCCAGGACCCACACTTCTTTATCTCCCATGTGCCCCGGTGCCCTCCAGTTGAATCCCAGACTGCACATGCTCATAAAGTTAGCACTCCCCTCTCCTCAGCTAATCTCCCCTCCGCATCCCTTTGGTAATCTTCAGGCGGCCAGCTCCTACACATGTCCACCTTTCACACACCCAGCCCAGCCGCCCTCCCACGCCACACCCACCCCATGTGTCTGTGCAGGCACGCACGAGCCATCTGTCTTCGGCACACTGCACTTCTCCAGCTCCAACACCCTTCCCAGGCACAGATTTCTCATTAGCTACACCTATGTTCCCACAAGCTCTCGTCTCCTGCTATGCACACAGATGCCCATCACACAGGCTCCCCACCCCTCCAGGGCCAGCAGGGCTGGAGGAAGCTGGAGTCAGCTCCACCTCCTTCCCTACAGTTACCACCCTCAAACCCCCCTCTCTTACAGAGGGGGCCCTCCCAGTTGTTCGCTGGCCACCCAAGGATCAGTCTCCCTCCTCGGGAAATCAGACCCGATTCATACAGATACAATTTTCTCAAGGCCATCTTCTACACAGTCCTCAGCGAAGCGCAATCCTACTTGCTCTCCTGAGGAGAACGCCGCTGGTAAACTTTCTTCTGTCTCTATATACTGCCTGCTACAGCAGCCTGCAGCCAGCTGCCCCCGCCCCCACTCTCTCCCAACACTACACTGGAGTCTGTTTGAGCCTAAGGCGGAGGTAGTTGGGGTTTATCGTCTGGATTCCTCCTCTCAAATTTCTTTGAGCAACACGTCAGGATCAGGGGAGGCTGAGTAAGCGGGCGAAGTTCAGCCTATTTAGAAAACAGAACCGATTTAAAGCTCCCCTGTACAACCCACCCCTCTGGTACACTCCTTTCTCATCCTGACGTTTAGGGCACTGTGCTTAGGTTATTTCCTCGCTCGCTGGTTTGCAGTGGAAAGGCAACCCTTTACTGAAAAGCAGGTTTGCCAGCAGCACACTCCGTAACCCGCAGAATTTCCAACATCAGACTCAGCTAGTAACACACACCCTTACAGTCTCCCTTCCCCTCCCCCAGCAGGTTCCCGCCCCCAACCTCTTCACACTCATAAACAAGTCCCGGCTCAGGGGCTCCAGCTCTCCAAGCTTAGCAGCCTGCACTGGCTGGGACCGCGTCCTAGAGCAGCCTCCACTCGGACTCTCAACCTGCTACCCGCCGGTCGCAAGAGGTCGGGATCAATCTGGTGGGTGTTTCCCCCACCTGGAAAACGTGAGCCTCAATTCCAGTTCCCTCCTGTGACTTCTCTAATCAACTGCGTCCACACTGTACGGTGCTGGGGTCCCAGTGGGGCGCATCTGAGCGGTGCGGAAGAACGCCAAAATTGCGCAAAGCAGTAGCGCCTCTTGGATGCACACCCACTCACGCCCGAAAGCGACAAGCAGACAGATCCTCCCCGCACCCCACACCAGCCCCTCATTCCGCACCTTCAGTTCCCAAGCGTGCCAAATTTCATTAGAAGTATCCACCGCTGTGCAGAGACCGGTAGCAATGGAAACAGTCCGCTGTGGGTTCTTTTAACTCCTACCTATCTTTGAGGGTCTCCGATGCTCTCGGCCTTCCTACACCACCTCTGGAGGGGGTGGGTTGAGGGGGTGCTAAAACGGGCTTGGAGAAACTGCTACCAAATCTCTACCGATGGCCCCGCCCCTGTACCCACCGTTCCCTGGCCGGGTCCCAGACGGGCGGGCTGAGCGCTAGCTCCAACATCTGTGGGAAGACCCGGGGTGGGTAGGCGTAGGGTAGGTGCTCCTCAGAGTAGCCTGGGGCTGGGGACCTTCTCAGAGAAAAGACTTATGTGGGATCCTAGCGCAGGTACGCACTTCTGGGCGGGGAATTCCAACTCCCCTAACCTGAGAAGTGACTGTGGGGGTCCTGAGCTTTGCGTCCCCTCCCCCAGCCCACGCCCTGCCTGGCTGTGTGGTGGAGCTGTCGAACAGTGCCCGGTGGCCAGCGGGGTGCAGGGCGAACGCCGGGATCCCGGCCTCTTCCCAGGCTCGGTTTTGTCTTCTACCCCCTTTTGTTAGATGATACGCGGGAGCCTTCTGGGAGAACTAGGTAGGAGGGTTGGAGGTGTGTACGCCTGAGGTGGAAGGGCAGGGGGTGCAGAATCCCCTTCCTGCCTTTCGTGGCCCCCATTTTCCCTCTCCTCCACCTCCCTCCCTTTCCAATGCAGGTTTCTTAAACCTGATCACTTTCCCAGACTGAGGGCGGTTTCTTGGGCAGCCAGGGGACTAGAGGGAGGAGGAGGTGGGGAGCCGTATCCGCACACGCGTGTGCATGCAAGTGGAAGGGGGGTGGTGGCGATTGCGCCTAGGCCTGGGCAGATCCCAACGCAAACTTTGAAGGCACAAGAACCGGAAAGTTAAGAGCTTGTTACAGGATGGGGGTGGGGCTGGGTGCAGAGTTGTCCCCCACCACGGGGATCCTCGGTAAAATCTCCCCCCAACGCGATCCCCAATTTCCTCCCTGCTGCCCACCCAGAGAGCCCGCCACATCCCCTTACCGTGGCAGAAGTAACCATGGCATCCGTGTGACTATTTCCAGAGACGTCGACATGAAGAGAAAGGTGGACTCGAGTTCGGTCATTCAGTCTCGCCCACCCCTGCCGCAGCCACTACCCAGCGGTGGGAAAAAACGAGAGAGGAAGAAAGAGGGAAGAAAGTTGCGCCGAGCTCTCTCGCGGGGCGGTGCGCGGAGCTGCTGGGTAAGGAAAGGAGCCTTCAACTCTGAGTCCCGTGAACATAATCTGCGTGGTTATAACCAGCCAACCCGGCCAGATGGCTCCGCGCTCAGCGCCTTAACCCCTTCCGCGCCGAGCCCCAGCCCCCGAGCCCCGCCCGCAGTGATTCGCAGGCCCGCGCCCAGAGACCGGGTCAATTCTCCTAGTCCCCTTTAAAGGAAAACAAACGAACGAACGAACAAACAAACAAACGCTTCCAAAATAGCCTATTCTTCAGTACCTCCTATATTTGATTTCCCTTTTAGTCATGGGGAAGAGTCGTAGAAAGCATTCAATTTATCATTATATTTTATACGTTAATATCTTCGATCTGTCTTATTCTTGAATTTTTTTCTTTTTGATCTTTTTTCTTTTAAGATTCTTTTATCTTTCTTTCCTTTCTTTTTTTTCCCTCTCTCTATCTCTTTTCTTTTATTGAGGCAGAAGGCCTTTCTTGCCCCTTGGTTCAGGAAAGCTTGGTTCTCAACCTTAAATTCTGCCTCAAAACCTCAGAGATTTCTAGCTTTGGATCTCTCACCGCCGCCGCAGGAGCTCGCCCAAGAACAATTGCTCTTCCTCAACTGAACTCTCCGGTCCGGGGGACCAGTTCCCAAGGCGCAGTGCATGCTGTCTTAGGTTAATTCACCGAGGTAAGGTGGGGGTGGGGGTCCTGAGCAACCAAAGGAGGGGTTGGCTTGCTTGCGCGGCGCGTGCGTGAAAGAAAACTAGAGGCACGAGGCCAAGCACCACATTTTACTCAGTCTCCAACTTCCCTACCCCTTCCTTCCAAAGTAGAACCCGGCCCTGGAGCTGAGCACTCGTCCAGGACACACCGCTCAGCACAAACACAGCTCGCCCAGAAGAAAAGGCATGCAACACACCTCTTCCCGTCTTCCCGAAAGTAGCGACGCTCTCTTCCATAACCGCTAGATTCATTCGAGAAAAGATCCCAGGCAGAGGTTTTATTTGAAGATAATTTTAGCTAGCCATTAGACCCCACTTGTTCCGAACTGGTTCTCTCAGAATATACAGCGGTCAGCGCACCAAGATTTTGCTCTATCGCTGTTCAAGAGAAAGGCAGGAGGCTCCTTCACTCTTTCCCTGGTTCTTGCAAGGTGGAATGCAAAGTCCAAGTGAGTGCCCTCCTCACCCTACTCCGCCCCCCCCCCCCGCAGCCCCCTCTTGTCAGGACATTTGACTCACAGGCACTAGAAGAGGCGATTTAATAGTTTCTCTCTTCCTTGCCTTCCATTAAAGTGTCTGATAAGCAACCCGCATTGTAGTTCAGCAAGGTTCCAGGTTCAAAACCTGGAAATTCCTTGGAGTTGTGTGCGTTTGATCCACAACCAGGAGCGCCAGAATTGCACCCACCGGTTGAAGCCAAGAGAAGCTACAGGGCGAAAGGAGGCCAGAAAGGATGGAGAGTCTGGGGGGGGGGGGGCTGCATACTAGATAGATTGTACCTGCCTCATCATTATCCTGGCTGATGGGGGCTGCCACATCGAAAATGGCCTGCAGCACCCACAGAGGCCCAAGGACGTCACCTCCAACGGTCCCACAGAAGGGCTGAGTCCTCCTTCGAAGGTTCCCCTCCTGCCAAAATATCTCCTTTTTCCTCCGGATCCGATCGGGCGGCCGAGTTTCCCCCTCACCCTGCCACAGAGCACTTTGGAGGTTTGGCTTGGGCGTGCTCTGTGGGGTTCTGGTTTTCTCGCGGTCCTCTGGCCCGCCCCTGCCCTCCCCCACTTCCCGCACTTGTCTCCCCCCCCCCCCCGCGTCCCTCCCCCGCCTCTCCCTTCAGTCTCTCTGCCGGCCGAGTTCTAGGGGCTCATTTCTCAACCTCCTGGTCCCAGGGCTCAAAAGACTGCAACCAAAGGGGTGCTTGACTGCCGGGCAGGGAGGAATGGGTTAAATACACGTGTGGGCTGCTCCGCCGGCTGCTCCCCGGTCACTGGCGGTCTGGAGGGAGGAGGGGTCTAAGAGGGGCAAGCTTAAATATGAACAGGCAAAAGAAAAGGCTTCAGAGTTCAAGACTCCGATTTGTTCTGCAGATGCGGTGCACTGGCTGGCTGCCTCCCTTTGCCAGACCCGGGCGACGGCAGGAAGAGAGCATTGTTTCCAACTCAAGGGTGCAGGAGGGTCTGTCTCCGCCTGCAATCAACAGGCCTTGTAATATGAGAGGTGACACCTTAATCTTGCCAAATATGTGCGGTGTCTGGGGCGGGGGGCAGGGAGAGACCCAGCCAAGAGCAGGGGGCAAAAGATGCACTTCTCGTAGAGAACTGATCCACACCCCTCAACCCCCACCCTGAGAGAGAAGGGTCCTCATTTTCTTTTTGCAAGACCTGTTTGAGGATTTTCTTCCCCCAGAACGCAGTCAAACGTCTCCTTCCTTGTTTCTTTCCACTGAAGAGCTAAAGGTCCTCTTTCCCTTAGTAGATACAAAGGCATCTTGAACTCCAGAGGCGCTCAGAGGATGCCGGGCGGGAAAGAGGCAGAAAGGTTCACTTGTTTACAGGCAGATAAAAGCCGCTCAGAGTCATAGTGACTTCTGGGCAAACCCAAGTTTCTAAATAGAGAGTTGAAGTGTTTATCGGAAGGCCAGTGCTAAGAGCGGTATGGATAGCTAGAACTAAGAGAAGGCCCCAGGAAGCAATGGAGTCCTTAGACAGCGGGGTCTTTGCTAGCTAGGTAGAGGCCTCTCTAAGCAGAGTCCCTGGTTTGGGGCACCGATCTGGTGACAACACCTTCGGGTCAATGGACTTGCTTTTTCTCCCGGTTGCATCTGCAGTTCTGCTTCCCGAAAGCAGTTTGTTGAGAACAGGGGCCAGGTCCAGTTTTGAAAAGCCCCCTTTAAACTCTCTCCCAAGGCGGATTCCTAGAGCTTGCCTTTGGCCTACCCTTATCTTTTGTAATAGCGCCACAATGTGGTTGAAACGCAAAACAGAAATAAAACGGAAAGGTGGAAACGAGTCTTGGGCTGCTTAGAAAACCGCATTTTCTCCTGTTTCGGCTCCTGTATGTCTCTCTGGGGTGGAAGGGGTCCCTCGTGCAGCATGGTCATGGCTAATTCACAGTGAAATAGTGACCCCGGGAATGGAAATATTGGACATAATGGTCCTGTTTGACTATACATTACAAAGATAAGCGTCATTATGTAGCTAGCCTTAGCTCGCATAGCTAGCATTCATTCAATGCCACCTTTCACTAGCCTTTGTATAAATAACATACCTTAGCTGACCCTAGGTTATCTGCGAGTGGCCTGTATTGCAGGAGGGTCCTATGGCTGTCTAGTTACAGCTCCTGTGCTTGCTTTTGTCCCACCCCCCACCCCCCACTCCTGTGCCCTGCTCATCCAGACAGCTATTCCAGATGATGGAGTCAGAAAGTCTACAGTTCTAAAAGGAAGTGAGTGCAAAAGGCATTTGCATTAGAAATGGGAACTTAGGGTCAGGGGAGTTTGATGCATTGCCTTATCTTGGCTCTCCATGCAATAGGCCATACGCGCAGCTACACCTTTGTTAAGCAGTAAGCACTCAGGCTAGTTTGCCAGTTAGCATCTCTTCCCAGATGCCCTGGAGCATTTAGGAGACATGATTCCCCAGGATTCCCCTACACAGGCAGTGAGATCAGTTGTCCCTGGAAGCTGGGTAGTGTGTCTAGTAAGTATAGCTCACTCTAAGATGTTTTCCAAGCCCATCTTGGCTTCAAGGACCGGCCTCAATCTAGTGGAGATATTATAGGTGATACAGGTGATACTCTAACATCTTCTCACATCTAACATCTTCTCACAAGCAAACAAAAGGTCCCACTAAGAGACCACAAAGTAGAATTCCTTGAAAGGGTCACTTTTGTAGTCTGACAAACCTGAGTTTCCCAGCTGCTCTCTCAACCCTACTAGATGTGTTCAGCACAGGGTTCCTAGCTCATTAGAACCCGTCTAGAGTTGTTGAAATAGTGCCCATCTCATGGGTGCACTGAGAAGACTAAGTGCAGTCCGCAATCTGAAACTCTCCCCACAGTGCCTCACATAGCGGGAGCCTCAGATCCAAGTTCCTCAGTCCTTACATTGACATCGTTGGCGCCTGACTGGTAAGTGTTAGCGGCCATCAGAAAGAAAGATGCCTATTATTTGGGTTCCATCCATATTTCATTAGTATAATTGTGCGTGTGTTCCCAGACAGTAAGAAACGAGCAGAATGAAGTAGTGGACATACCTAGAATTTATTTAATTTCCTAATGTGGACCTCATGAGCGACATAGACGAAGGGTTTGAAATTCTCATTCATTCCCCGCCTCTGGGGCGGAATCACCTCATCATCTGAGAGGAAATTCCAGCACATCCTTCCACTGTTAACAGATTTCCTAGTGTATTACTGCCCAGTTTTTATCACTAATTATGTTCTGGGGCTTGTACTGAACACTATGATGCATTACATGGAACAACAATGAATCAACTCACTTGGTGAACTAGAATGCATATTTATAATTAGGCTTCAAAAAATTACCCATAATGATGGAGTGAAGGTATGCAGCCTGCCACACAGGTGGATCTAGAAGTCATGATGCAGTCTCCTGTTTCACTAGTTATGACACGAATTCCTAACCACCCTATAAATTAGCTTTATGCTGTACCAAACTCCACTCATAAAAAAAAAATGACATTAAGGTTTCCTAGGTAACTAATGCATTTCCAAAGGGAACAGATCTCAGGAGACAAAGAGGACAGGGAAGAGAGTGGGGGAGGGGAAGAAAAAAATGTAAAAACCAAAAAAAAAAAAAAAGATTAGATTGGACCCATGTGATGCAAACAGAGTATTTCAGGGGAGGAACCGTAAAGTTTTATTGTGTGTGTTTGACATAGATGTGGCATTGCCATGAATCCCATCCTTGGTCAATAAAATCCCCCATAGATTGCCCGCCTATCACATAGGCCAATGTTTCTCTGTGCGGATTCGATGCTGTGAACTGAGAAACCTGGAGCCTACTATTCAGCTGCTGAGCTGTATCCACTCTGAGAAGGCCAACCTGAACCTTCCACTAGCTGTCTTTAGATGCCGCCAAATGTCAGGACGGGAGGGGAACATGGCGTTAATTGAGATATTTTGAAACATGCTCGTGCTTTTGATCATCATGGACTCAGACTCCGAGAACCTTGGTGCAACCTTAGAAGGTTGAGGCTTGAGGGTTGAATCAACAGAGACAGCTAATTTCGAAATCCCTAACTTAATATTGTCTTTTCTGTGCAAGAGAGATGTCTGTCCGCTGAGGAACACCTTGAACACTTAAAAGGAACCAGAAAGATTGTAGGTGGAGGGGACTTAAGGCTCAGCTCTCTATAAGGAGAGCAGGGATTCTGAAATATTTTGTCACTACCAAAGTTCTTACTAGACTGTCCCATGTAGGGTTTCTTCCGCAAACTTCTTTTCAGATTTATTTTCGTTTGTGTGTATGTGTGTATCTCTCTGTGTGTATGCCACACATTAACAAGTACCCCTGGGGGCCAGAGAAGTGTGTTATAGAATTGATAGAAGACATTTGTCACGGTTTAAGGTTGTCTGGGAGCTTGAGAGAAGGGAGGCAACAGGCTGTGAGTAGGATTCGGTTCAGTCTATCTATGGACCACAAAGGTGAACATGCCAAGTCGGGACACTGACTTGACGTACCAAAGAAAGGGAGATTTCAGCATTGGTCCATCCTCCCTGTTGGTTTCTTTGTGTAGGACACACCTACGTAACCCTACATAACTATTCACGACAGCGTGGCTAAGAGCTCTCAGAGGTATGCTAGACAAAGCTGTTAGTGCCAGGGTTCTAATAAATTTGTCTAAGGGGTTAGACCATTGGCTTTGGTCCAGTGGTTGACAAGACATCTAAATCAAAACTACTCGCATTTACAGAATCACGATATGGAGGAAGAAAGTAGTTGAGCCTTGAGACTGTAATAAGTGAACATGCCTACCCAGAAACTATAGAATTTGTACCTGAACCTGTGGACAATGAACATCTTGTTTTACGTGTTTCATCTGAATCCCGTCCAGTAGCAACTGGTCACTCATACAAATGTCTGCCCATCTAGTGTAGACACAGATTTAATTATCAGTGTTCGAAGCCTTTCCTGTGGCCAAGCTTCAGAATCCGGAGCTGCTTTTGGAGCACATGATCTGCATGTCACTGCTCCATGCTCTTCTCTGCCTCCAAATAAGAACGAGAAACTTCTACTGGTTCTTCTCTCCGTCTCTAAGCAGTTTCCCACAAGCTATTTGCAATAACAAGTCCAAAACTTGGATATGAGATCCTTTGAAGTGGAGAGGATTACTTTACCAATGACAACTGTACTGTCTCTTCTCCCTTGTTCACCTCCCCATCCAACCCTAGGGACACCTTTAAAATAAAGCTTTTTATTACTGGAGAGACAAACAGCAGAATTGGAAATACACAGACATTCACAAATCAAGAGCAATGAGTTTTGCCTGCCTAGAGTTATCAGGGCGTCTGTGGTTAATGACAATGGAATCAGACCTGGCAGGCAATCACAAGATGACACACTGGTCTACACCCCTTATCTCAAGTTGGAAAACAGAGACTGGCTGCCATGTGGAACCTACACATGAATGGCTTGCATTCTTTTAGAAGGTGCCCGAGAG